GATTTTATGAACTTGAATAATAGTGTTTGTTTATGCAATGAACTGAGTAAGGTCTTACCTGGTCAAGGTTGTCCTCAATAAAGAATAACCTAGACAAGAGGACAAACTCTCTCACAGTCAAGTCAGTAGGTAGCTCGGACTCAATATAAAGTTCGAGATAGAATTTCATATATGTGACTAGGAATGATGCCCTCTATTTATAGTTTGGGGATCCAACATACATTCTGATTGGTGGTTACTCGTGTCAGACGTCTGGTCGGACATGTTCCAAATGGCTAGTCAAACCTGGTAGCAGGTCGGACATTAGGACAATTGTCATAATTCACATTTGATTACATACTCTACCTCGGACAGGTTCCAGGTGGACTTGGGTAAAGATGGTTCCAGGTGTGCCAATCTATGTCATCCACATGACATTACGATTTTAATCTCTAAACATTGACCCCCTCTTTTTCAGGTTCGAGATTGACTTGGTAGAGAAGTTTCAATTGGTCATCAAAATCTTGAGTTCGACTTAAGCAGCTCGAAGCTTCACTCTAGGTCAGTTTCTTCCCCTCAAAATGTGTCTTCGTTTTCATTTTATCGTCATGTCTTCCAGTAGTAGTTTGTCTAGCAAATCAGGTTGGAAACCCGAACACATAGTCACATAGGAGAGCTAGTTATAGTGAGGATTTAGTGACTAGGTTAGACACAGAGTAGGATGAGAAAAAAAAGTTTAGGTTATCCAATGACTAAGGCAGCGGTAGTGACGCCTCGACCACAGACCAATGGAACAAATTTCCTTCCATTATGGCCGAGAACTACCTGGGCCCCCTTCGTAGGCGTTATAGTATCCCAAACTTCATAGGTATTCTCCTTTCGGTAGAATGAGATACAGCAGACAACCCTCTAGAGGGGTGTGTTTCCAAGTACCTGAAGATGTTTGAGTCAGACTCCTTCTGCACCCATTCCATCTAGAGGGGTGTGTTACCAAGTGCGTCTCCATAGCGCTACCCCAGATTGCCCCCAATAGTTTGGGTGTTGTATTCGGGCTATCAATCTTATGGTGGCTTAGGTGACGAGAAACAAGAGATATTGAGTTGCTTAATGCCAAACAGCTCTTGGCCTATTTTGAAGTAAAACAGATCCAAAGAAAACCTGAACGCTTCTACTTAAGCGCAAGGAAGGGTACTAGAAGCATAGTTAATGGCCAACATTTATAAAAAAAGTGAAAAGGCAAATGGTTCTACGTCTCTTGAGATTGGCTTTCCAAGGATGAGCATGGCCAGACATCCTATTGAAGGGATTGAATCTCCCAGCGAAAGCGCGTGAATGATTGTGCTTCGATTTTGTCTTAGAAATTCAACAAAAAAAAAGAAAAAAATATTATTAAAAGGAAAATAGAATCTACATTTGAATACCGTCCTTCACCATAGATCAACACTACCAAATGGTCTTCCTCGCTATCCTTTGGATGTTAAGAACTCGGTTTGTGGGAACATTGTTAAATTGAGAAAGAAATTGAAAGATTGAGAGAGAGACTTTGTTTTAGAGTTTAGAAACTAAAAATACCAACCCACACCGAAGGGAGAGAACCTCCCTTTTAAAGGAAGGAATCATGGGAGGAAGTTACCACTTCCTCACTGACCACCTCCCCACTTCCGAACACAAATGGTACGAAGTGGTGGAGCGTTTTCCTTTTTCTTGTTATTTAGTTAAAATAATTTTAATTAAGTTAATAATTAATTAAATCAAATTTAACTAATTAGGAAAAAGAAAATGTTAATCAAATTAAATTAAATCTAATTTAATTTAGCAAAATTAATATAACCCATTAATTTTATTAAATCATATTTAATAAAATTAATCATAAATTAATTAATCATATTAGAATCAAATTCAAATATCCATCGCTCTTATAACATATAGTTTAATTGAATCCAGTTCAAGATTAAGTTTATATCATAATGTATCAACACACATATATTTATTGCATCTCATACAATTAATTTTAACTCCCTTTAACATATTTGAACAATTCAAATTATTTTCAAGACTAAATCTTCTAAATATCCTATACGAGCTAGCAAGGGGACCTAATTTACATACAGATCATAAGCTCCAATGATACGAGATTAATTGATTAAAATAATTAACCATATTAATCAAGATTCTTTGATTGTTGGTCACTCGACTAAAGACTCACAGTTATACTCTTCTCACTATAGAGTATTTTGCGTCCATGGATATTAACGTTTAATGGCAAGTCAATCTCTTACGAGTGTTTATAACCATAGTTGGGTCAAATTATCATTTTACCCCTATGTTACAAGTACCTTAACAACCGCTGATCCTTCGGTTATGGTATGACCAATAACTGGAAGTCACTCTCGAACCAGTGAGAGGGTGGGCCCCTTGTTCAAATCCCGGAGTCAGCACTAAATGGAACACTCATTTACTCCCCTGAAGATGGGAAGGAGTGAACTCCATATTGTGATGTTATGTTCCCAGCTCCCCACTCGGTCTAGTCCCTAAAATGGTAGGAATGTTGAGTCGGCACGCGACTCAGGCCACTCTCACACATACAAATCAATAGATGAGTCGTAACAGGCAGGAGTCCATAACTCACTCAGGTTTGAGATCGAGTTACTTTGTCAGCCTATTGAAATATGAGTATATTAGCTAACGGTATTACAGGTAAAAATTAATTATTTCGCGGTCCGGTTGTATAAAAACACAACTCGTTGTATAAGATACCGTCACTCGCATGTCTCCACACGAATGACATGGATCAAGTCATTTGTTACTATTAGAAAGTGGGTCGTATCCATAGTGTTATCAGGATAATGTACCGAAACCTTACCCATATATTATTGACCTTTAAGTTATTACTAGAACATTATCCACCTGTATATAGAACATATATTGTATATATACACACTGTATATGTAATGACCCAGAATTTTCCGTACACCTCTAGGTCACATTCACTACCCAACTAATCAAAGTTAACTCCGACTACATCCTGCCAACTTCCTATACGCATAAACTCCAAAAAAAAAAGAATCAAGTTCCAATCCTCATCAAATTAATGATAAACCAATCTCATGGAATAACATTCAGCAACATTCGTGAACCACTTCACGAGGCAAGTTTATTATTCAATCTATATGAATCTAAACAAATGGAATAAAACTCAAATAGGCTCCTAACCCGAAGCAAAACTAACAACAAGAAGAACGAATCTCTCAATTATTCAAATGCAAATAAACCGTTTATTGGCCACAACATAAGGCTCTATCCAACGAATTAAACTAAACAGGAAAACTAAGTAGCCTATGGTCCTCGAACGTCAGGCCTCCTCCGTCCCATCACCGCGGTCACCCACGAGTCCTTCACCTGAAACAATCATTGTAGAGGGGGGGGGGGGTGAGTATATAAAATATACTCCGTAAGTAGCCCTCACCAAACACACACAAACGTCATGCTCATAACCATAAAGGAAACATACATCGTCATGCTCTATCATTACAGTATGCGAACAACTATAGACATGCTTGATGGAGAAAATACATACATGCGCAGCGGAAGTGAGCAAGAATCGAAATAACAATCTAGATGCATAATACAACCTAAGATTAAACATGCATGATCATACATTATGATGCTTAGAGATAAGTAGAGAAAAAAACAAACCTTTGTAGCTTTTCAAAAATCTTCAAATAACTCCAATGAAGGACCACCAAGAGATCTTCCTAGCTATTCTCAAGGCTTGGAATAGAGTGGTGGGACTCTTTTTAGASAAGGAAAAAATTAGAGAAAAGTGGAGCTAAAAGGAGTTATGTAAGCTTTTYGAAAACACATCAAATGGCCAAAGGTTCCAAGAGATCTTGATGTTTGAACAAAAGCCTTCTTAAATAGGCAAATTACATGCAACTCTTGCATGTCAAAGTTCACCAAAAGCTTACAACACATATTCCACTCATGCATGGCATGACTAAGTGTCAAAATGCATGTCTAAGTTCACCAAAAGCTTACAACACACATTTCACTCATGCATGGCATGGCTAAGTGTCAAAATGCATGTCTAAGTTCACCAAAAGCTTACAACACACATTTCACTCATGCATGGCATGACTAAGTGTCAAAATGCATGTTTAAGTTCACAAAAAACTTACAACACACATTCCATTTATGCATGCATGGCTAAGTGTCAAAAAGTGGATTTTTGAGATTATTTAAATGTTCCACTCAACAAGTTAGTGGAATTTTCCACCAACTTGGTTAAAAAMATTATTTTAATCTACTTTAGTCAACCTTTGACTTTCTCTGGTCAAAGTCAACTATTTGACTTTTTCCAAAATCCGATGTTTGATGAAATCCATGCCTCCGATTATGAATCCGCATTCATAATTTTAATATTTAAATCCTATTTAAATATTTTGTCAAAATTTCTCAAATTGATATCATATATCAATTACTTAATCATATCTCATATGATTAACCTAATTCGTACGATTTGAATTATTCCTTCAAATTATTCCAAGTTTATTYCTATATGAGCTAGCCAGGGGACCTTATGGACCTACAGATCATGAGCTCCAACGATCYGAGATTAACYGGTTAAACTCTTTAACCTAGTTAACCAACAATCGTTAACTACGCGGTCACTCCACTAAAGCCCGTAGCTGCACTCTCCTCACTGTAGATATATTATGTCCATTTGATATAACCATGATCGGTAAGTTGACCCTTCACAGGTTGTTCGTAATTACAKCTGGGTCAAAATATCGCTTTACCCCTGTAATTATCTCTTGTTCCTTAAGTCCCACTAATCCTCTGATGAACAATGATTTGTAATCCAACTATCAAATSAAAAAATCCTCTCAAACCTTTTGATGAGGGTGGCGCCAATTGTTCAAGACCTGGATTCAGCCCTTAGGAGAACAACCTCTCTACTATCCCAAAATTGGGTAGAAGTGAATTCCTTCTTGCACCCTATGTCCCTAGCTATCTACCG